TCCGGTGTATACATGCTATACATGCTATACATGCTCTCATAATTTTACACAGGGGTACTCTAATACAATCCAATCTTTTTGCAAAAGAACCGGATATACACCGTCCCCCCCTGAAGCCTTAAATGGTTTGAAAGTGCCCAATCAATCCCTTCCCGAGTTACGACCTTGGCTGCTAGTTTCCAGTGTTCCCGATATCCTCGGTTCTTACCTGGTCCTATGCCATGGCTGTTCTCCAAACTTTCTCTAAAGTCCGGAAAGTTTACTTCCATCAGGTGCTTTAGACACTCCCTTTTATCCTGGGCATACTGCCCATTAGGCAGCTTAATAGTAGTTAATTTTGCCATTGGGTCTCGAGCTAGTACTTTATGAAGTCTTGAAGCTTCTGGTACTCTCTCGATTCCCTTGCAAAAACTTCTTCAGCTGACACCCCTTACCCTCTCTACTTCTTTCTTGTAAGAATCGCGAGCGGTATGATAATCGTCCCATGCTCGCTGATGCCTACGTTTCTTGGCTTTATTAAAAAGCTTTCTTACAGTTTTCCTATGTTCCTCTAAACAGGGGGTCCACCATTTACCGCCCCCATTGAAGCCCATTTTCTTAACTACACAGTTCCTTTCAAAGGAACAGATAATAGAATCTCGCAGATATTCCGCTGCAAGCTCTAACTCCTCCCTCGTTCCATAAGAAGTGGGGAAGCATGCCATGGAGGCCTTGAGGTCTTCACTATATGAAGCCCAGTCGGTACTCCTAGGATTACGTCCCCACTTCTGTTCCCGATCTTTCGATTCCAATCTAAACGTAATAAGCCTGTGGTCCGAGAGGGAATCTTCATCAGACACCCTCCAGTCCCTTACGCCATCACACAAAGACTTGGAACAGATCGTAATATCCAACACCTCTTTTCTGTTAACAGTAACGAAAGTCGGCTCATTACCCTGATTTAAAATATCTAAATCTGTATCTAACAGAAAATCTAAAAGTCTCTGTCATTAATGTCTGTGCTACCCCAAACAACATGATGCGCATTAGCATCACACCCTATTATCAAAGGAAGCCCTCGCCTTTGGCAGTAATCTACCAACCCCTTAACCTCTCTTGGTGGTGCAGGTTCATCCCCTGTTCCCGGAAAGTAAGCGGACGCTATTACCACCTCCCTTTTATTTCCGTTCTTTTCTAGATACTTAGCTTTAACTACAGCTAAGTCCCTAGTAGTTAATTCCAAAAGAGGGAAAGCGTCTAGACCTTTATAGATCAGACACGCCCTTGGAACTGGTTCCTGTGGTAAACTAACCAGCTCGCCACAGCCGTTCAGACCTCTAACTCTCCCCTTGAAAACCCAAGGTTCTTGAATAAAGGCTAAAGCTGTCTGCATCTTTGTCAAGCTCTTGGCTAAAATCGCCAAAGCCCCCTTACAATGATGCAAACTAATCTGCGTACAATGAATCCCGGAAGCAGCCATTTTTAAGGCTGATTTACGGTCTCCTCAGTCGCTTCCCCCCCTAGGTACCCTGCCCAGCAGCTGGGTCAGTACCTTGCCTCGCCACTCTTAGAGTGATTTGACCTAGCCCAAAACACAGTTTCAACTGCCGGGCTTGGAGAGCTTCAATGTCGCTCTCTGGTTCTCCTAGCGCGAGAGTCCAGCCCACAGCCGCAGCTTGGTCTGCTCTTCTCTCGCCTCCCGAATACACCCTCCACGCGGATGTATCCACCCCGGTATTTTGTCTACCGAGGTTTTTAAGGATTGAAGCCTGGTTCACCCTAGGACCGGGTACCCAAGCCACAACCCTTACCAGCTTGATCAGCTCAGCCGGATCCACCACCTTGATAGCAAGACCCCCTAACGCCTGACCGAACCTAGGTATACGGCTATTTTTCCATTCCCTAGATTCTGATTCCAGGCACTCTACTAGGATCGCTCCCCTAGTGAGGCGAATCTCTCCGAAATGAGGATAGGGTCCAACTTCGTCCCCTCCAATCTCCTCATTAATTGCTACCCTTAATTGGTCCAGATTAGCCAACGTCATCTGGACCCTAGGATTGCCTTCCGCGACGATCGCCCCGGCTAATGACGATCTAGTGATCTCCGCAAACAATAAGGTTCTCCCTTGTGGGCCCCTTAACTTTTTTGACGGCATTCTATTGTTAGGGGAAGCCTCCTCCGAGTCCTGCCGTATTTTCCCCGGTCCGGCCCCCGACGCTCTCCCCCCCTCTCCAGAAGTGTTCTGAGAAGAGCCAGCGGTATGCGATTCGGTCCTCAGAGAGTCCCGAGCTCACTCCCGCCTTCTCTTCCTTATTGCAGCCCCACTTAGTCTCTTGCCATCAAGGGCAAGGTTACCCAAGTGTTGCTGAACCCTATCTACTTGTTGCAAGGTTTGGTCCCCTGTGGTCCCCACCCCAGCTCCAAGCGTAGTTCCCATGCCAGCATTGAGATCCCCCGAAGAGGGCTCTACAGTGCTCGCATGTTCCGAGTTTTTGTTTTGTATTTTATTTGAGTTAGTAGTATCCATTTTTGGTCCCACGAGAAAAGAGGAAAGAAGGTCCATTCTTGAAGAGCCTCTATTCAAGGATAAGGCTAAATACATCCGAGAGTTCGCCTGGTGTCTCGGAGTCTCGTTTAAGACACCTCCATTCGAGCCCCACCACGGGGACGGGTCGTCCAGAGGACGGGCCCCTCCTGTAACACAACCGTTCCCGAACTTTACGAGAGCTAAGTAATGCCCAGCGATGGTCGTCCCCCGTTTAACCCCCCCACGGAAGAACCCGATGGATTTGTTAACCCTAGTATCATTCATCCATGGACACGAGTTCGTCACGGATTGGGTGGCAGAGACTCGCGCCTCAATCGCCATGGCACAGCCAACGTAACCATGGAAGGGTTTCTTCTTGGTCAGACTTCCACCAGTAAGAAGTCTTCAGAATGGACCCGCGGTTAAGCCTCTGTCCATCCCGTCTTTCTCGATATCCCTCTAAATCCCCGTGCCCTGGGACACTGCCCAGCGAAACACAAAAGATTCGGTTTCTGTAGCGGCCGACCCATTTTGAAGGGTTCGCCCCCCCAGTCCCCATGAGAGGTATCGAGAAGTAGCCTCCCACTGGGTAAAGCCCCTCGTGCGCCTCCCACCAACGGCAAGGTCTTGAAACCCCTAGGGAGGGTTTTTGCTAATTGCGATCCACTAAATTTGAAAACGGTTATAAAATCCTTAAAACATTTCCTCTTAAACCACTTTTATGCAAACTTTCTGAGACAATGCGAACATTGTTTTTTTGCGAATAAACAATTAATTTTGCAATAACAATTAAAAATTTTTAACAATAATTTTTTTTTATTTTTTAATAAAACTGCAATATTTAAGGTTTACAATAATGCAAGTTTCATTAAAATCCATTGATCCTATCACGAGATATGAATTTTTTAATTAAGCACTGTAAAAAACTTTAATTGTTTATAACTTAGAGAAATTTTAATTTTTTAAAAATTCCTTTGAACTGTTCAATAAACTTATAATAAGGTCTACATTTAACATGTTTTTAATTTAATACAGTAATTTTGAAATTACGCTAGTACACTTCAGGAATCTTGACTAAGTTCTAGTAATTGACCAGTAACTGGACAGTTTTCTGATCAAAATCTAGAATAAAATATAATTTTTCTTGGCTCTTGTTATTTTATTTATAATTATACATTTATTTACATTTTAGTGTTTATTCAAATATTTAAGACTAATGATCAATTCATTTAACAATAACATTTAAAACTATAAAAATGAAAAATTCGCACGCATGTGGGATCGAACCCTAGTCCTCGGAGACACACCGCATGTGAGTTACCACGCAACCACGGTGACTAGATAGTAATTTATTATAACTACAAGTTTAAGAACTTAATTCCCTATTCCGATTGTGACCAGCATTTCTGGTCAGTGACTTGTCAAAAGTAATGGTCGGAAATCATGACCAGATAAACTGTTTAGTCACTTGTCAGTGACTTGGCAGCTTATCTTGTCAAGTAAGACTCGATATCAACTCGAAAGAAACTGCTACATCAATATGGAATAAAATATGTGGTCGAAATTGCGAAAAATTGAAACTTTGGTAACGTGACAGAGAAACAATTATAACTTTTAAATGAAAAATACAAAAAATTTTATAATAATTAGTAAAGAATCATATTTTGAAATGCATGTTATTTAAAAATTATGAATGTTTTAAAAAGACGGTTACTTTAGACTTTTCTGTTTTTGACTGTATGGAACATAGAATTTTTTTAATATCTTTTAGATTGACTAAAACTGTATTTTTATGGGACTGGTGCTTGGTTTATTTACTTAGTAACTGGGCAGATTCTGTGTCCGCAGGTTCTTATTATAGTAGTATCAAGATTTTCTGGCTACAGATTTGTAAAATTCTAAAAAAAAATTTTAAATAAGATTTGGCAATTTTTTCTGATCAGTGATGGACCAGTTTTTCTAAATGGAATCTTAAATAAATCTTCAAATCAGTGACTGGCCAGTGTCTGGAAAGAAATTCTTACTTCGATTATGATAAGATTTTCTGTTCAGTGATTTGACAGAAGAATTGTTCATAAAGAAGAATTTTTTCTATCCAGTGAAACTGTCAGTCTCTTATTGAAGACTGGCCAGATTATCTTATTAAGCAAAACTCGATCTTAACCAGGGCCGTAACGACGTAGGTGCATGCGGTGCTGTGCACCGGGGCCCCCAGGTGTCAGGGGCCCCCGATGCCAAATGAAGTCATTATGTGACATTTTTCGTGTTTTTTATGCAGAATTTTTCATTATCCACATTCTGTGTTTGTTTTTTTTCTTATTTGAGTAACTGTGACTCTTTAAATGTGATATTTAAGTGTTTATTTTGTTGTTAATAACTTTTTGATTCTGTATATAACTACTACCCACTTTACATAACTTGACCAATGTGTCAGGCTCGTATAGTGTTATCTTAGAACCTGTCACTTGTTTTAACTTTGATTTCTCTTGAAACATGTCAAGCTCTCGTATGTGCACCGTTTGCAATTATAATATTGCGGGTGATGCTTTTTCCTGCCCGTGTGGAACCTTCTACCATCCAGCATGTGCAACTGCTGCTGTTAGTAAAAAAACGGGAAAAAGAAAATGCTGCTCCCACGTAAACACTTCTAATTCTCGGTCATTATCACCTAGTGGTTCCGGTAACATTACTATTGAACAAATTAGTCAATTATTAAATGACAAATTTGATAAGGCCAGGGATGAATCGGAAAAATTTTTTAGTGATAAATTGGAGTCTGTTATGTCTGTCTATTCTGACAGACTAAATGATGTTGTAGACAGAGTGGATAATCTTGAAGTGAGGTTCCAAGAATTTCAGGATAACAATATTAGATCAGATAATAGTTTACACTCCATCTCTGAAAGTGCTATTTCAACTAAATGTGTGGCCGAAATATCTGATAGACTAAAAAGAAATAAAAATCTAATCCTGTTTGGACATACTGAGATCGCTGATGATGGTAAGCAAACGAAAGAGACATTAAATAAGCTAGATTCTAACTATATAAATAGCTTAATTAAAAGCTTCCATCCGTCGCATGATCCAAATTCCTTAGTTTGCTCACGATTTGGTAAACATCCACAGGACTCAGCCCCTCCTCGTCCTATACGAATTACTTTCAACAAAGAAGACATCATGTGGGAAACCCTTCGAGCATACTGGAGAAAGAAAGCAGTTTTGGTTTTGGACAACCCGCGGATATCTCTAGTCAGAGATTTGACCCCACTACAGAGAACCATATGGAAGGAGAAACACACGGAACTTCAAGACCGTCAGAAGAGAGGGGAGTTGGACTTAGTGATAAGAGAGGTGAGAGGAGAGTTTATAATTGTGAAGAAGCGGAAACCGGCGAATGCTCCCTCTACCAAATAGAATCAACATTGATAGAGGGGAGAGAGAATCACAGCTTTAATTGTACGCATGTGGTTGACTTGGATTTGCTCAGTGAAATCGTCATATATTATCAGAATGTACGTGGTATAAACACTAAACTCAATCTCCTTCGATCTGGATTGGATGTTTCTGATTATGATATGTTGATTTTTTCAGAAACGTGGTTAAATTCTAGTGTTCAAAGTTCCGAAGTTTTTGATTCTAATCTGTTTAATGTGTATCGAGATGACAGATTATCTGGAAGGGGGGGAGGAGTGTTAATAGCAGTGAAGTCAAAATTAGAGTCTTCTAGTATTGATATGTCGCGCATTGTTGCTTCTGCTCCCAATATTAACGTAGTTGCAGTTAAAATTTACTCTGAAGGGAACACCTTCCTTATCTTTTCGATTTATATCCCACCAAATATGCCTTGGGAACATCTGGAGGAGTTTCTGGATTCTATTTCTACTTCATCATTGTGTTTGGACTGTAGGGTTTTGATTGTGGGTGACTTTAACATTCCTAATTTAAAACAATTTGTTGACAATAATAAACCTGACCGAAAATCATCCATTTTAAATAATTTTATGGTTTTGAACAATTTACATCAATATAATGATATTAATAATATAAACGATAGATATTTAGATTTAATTTTATCTTCATTTCCATGCGAAGTAACAGACAATGACCTGCCTCTTTTACCAGTTGATAATTACCACCCGCCTCTTATCATTAAATTTGAAGTTGCTATTCCTTTTGATTGTTCTAATACTAAATTTAACTTTAATCCAAATATTTCAATGTACAATTTTAAAAATTGTGATTACTCTAAATTATACATTTTATTAACAAACACCGATTGGTCACAACTTCGAGAATCTCAAGATGTCAATTTAGTCTTGGAAAAGTTTTATAGTATAATTTATAGAATTTTGGATGCTGAAGTGGGCTGTGTGAAAAGTGCATTTATTTTTGGTTTATATCCTCATTGGTACACCAAGCACATTGTTTCTCAGATTCAATTGAAAAATAAGTTTAGAAGAAAGTATAAAGTCTCAGGTAATGAATATTTTCTTCAGATTTACAAAAATCTTAGACGAAACATAAAAAATGAATTACACAAACAGTATAATGTATATCTTAAAAGTATAGAAAATGAGGTTATTGGTAATCCAAATTCAATATGGACTTACTTCAATAAGTCTAAGAAGACTTCTAGAATTCCTGCTGTAGTCTACTATAATGACCTTGAGATAATTGATCCGCAAGAAATAGTCAATGCATTTGCTCACTTATTTGTTGGTGTATATAAGCCTTCTACTTTTGATATTAGTTCTATTTGTTCAGATAATTTTGTCCATTTTGGAGATGGAATGCTAATAAGTCTCAATGTAATTAAATCGAAAATTCGTTCCCTAAATAACAAGTTTACTTCGGGTATGGATAGATTACCAAGTTTTTTTATTCGCAAATGTTGTGATGCATTTGTTGAACCACTTTATATTATAATTAATCTATCCTTAGCTACAGGTGTTTTTCCGGATATGTGGAAGCGAGGAAAGATAACTCCTGTCTTTAAAAACGGTAACAAATCTCTTGTTGTGAATTATAGGCCTATCACAATATTGTGTAATTTTTCTAAAATACTTGAATCTGTCATTGGGGATATCTTGTGGTCCTATTTTTCTCCTTCACTTTCTTTACATCAGCATGGTTTTGTACCACGTCGCTCAACAGTTACAAATTTATTAACTTTTTTAAACAAAATAGAAACTTTTCTTTTATATAATCAACAAGTTGACGTCATATTTACTGATATATCTAAAGCCTTTGACACTGTTAGCCATGAAAAAATTATTTTTAATTTGGAACAACTTGGGGTTCCAGATAAAATTCTTAAACTTTTGTGCTCTTATTTGGCTAACAGGGTCATGACAGTTAATTATAATGGTTACTCGTCATTTGAATTTACGCCTACCTCTGGAGTTCCGCAAGGGTCCAATCTTGGGCCCATGCTGTATGTTATTTATATGAATGACTTAGAGTTTGCTTTGAAGAATGAATTTTTGTTATATGCAGATGATGCCAAATTGTTTAAACCTATCAATTGTATAAAGGATTGTGAAGATCTCCAGCTTGATGTTGATAATTTTTATGATTGGTGTAAAAAGGCTTCACTCGATGTTAATTCTAAGAAATGTAAGATAATGACCTTCACGAGGGCAAAGACAGCAATTGATTTTCAATATAAGATTGGTGATAAACCAATAGATAGAGTTTTTGTCATCAAAGATCTAGGAGTTCATTTTACGCCTAATCTTAAATTTAACACTCATGTTGACACAATCGTGTGTGAAGCTGGTAGGATCTTGGGGTTCTTATTCAGAACCTGTAAACATTTTAAAAATGAATATGCTTTAAAAATTTTGTTTTATTCTCTAGTTCGGTCCAAATTAGCTTTTTGTTCAGTAGTATTTCGTAATTATTTACCTGCCTACTTATCGAGTGCCATTGACAAATGTCAAAAACGATTTTTAAAGTTTTTACACTACAAAAAACACGGCATATGGATACCCCCTGGATCAGACTATGCACAATTGTGTCAACGTTTTAATGAAAACTCCCTTGAATCTCGAAGAACAATTGATACAGTGTTGTTTTTATTCAAAATTATTAACGGTTTAATTAATAGCTCATATTTGTTATCGGAGATTCCTATTGCTGTTCCTCAGTTCTTCTCGCGAGGGTCTTATCCATTTTATACGGGATTAAGAAATGTAAATAGAACAACGCCAGTATTAAGTATGTGCAATGAGCTCAATAGCATATATAATTATAATTCAACAACTTTCGATATCTTTGATCAATCGCTTGATTCTTTTTTAAAAGCAGTTCTCCACTTTATTAAGGAGAACCCGATGCTATAATTATTAATTGTTTTGCGCCATTTTCGAAATTAAAATAATAACCGATAATCCTGTAATTGGTCTTTGTGACTGTTGGATTTATTTCAATAAAGTTAAATTAAATTAAATTAAATTAAATTATAGAATCGACATGAAAAATTGATTTTTTAGTTTTACAATTTTGCTAAAAATAAAATAAAGAATCCAAACAACTTTGTCAATGTAAAAGCGCAAACACAACTCTACTGCCTGTCTTTCTATGGGCAGATATTTTGCGCAAGCGCAAACATATATGCTTTGGTATCCACTCATATTACACTGATAAAAGTGGATATTATAAATCTTAAATAGATATGTATTAAGAAAAGATGCTAATGCATATCATCTAGATGTTATGGTTAAATATCTTAGATATTAAATAGTATAATCTGTAAATGTGAGGTTATGTTTAAACACGTATTTTTCTAATATCTGAGATGTTAAATTTGATCATATAAGATGTTTACATATTTGACTGTCACAGATATTGACCATTAATATATAGATAATAAAGCTTAATATCCATTTTTCTCAGTGTAATTTTACAAAAACTATTGACGATTTTGCCGCTATGAAATGAAGGAAAAAATCATTTTAGATGTAGTAACAGAAGATTCAAAGAACTTTTTCTACACTGGCGATGTTTCTGTATTTCCAGATAATTTGTGATAATTCGATAGTTATATTCAACATTAAATAATTGAAGAAAATATATGTAATATTAAAAATTTATCTTATAAAGTATATAGAAAAAATCAAAGTAATGATATTTTTTCCATTAACCTTCACCTTAAGAGTGCCCCCTGATTTTTTTGCACTAGGGCCCCCAAGACCGTCGGCACGGCCCTGATCTTAACTCGACAGATACTGAAAAGAAGCCAGTTTTACTGGGACATTTTTCTACCTGGGTATAATGATGTGCACTGTCGATATTTAGTTATTAAGGTTATTTAGTATAAGATAAAATTGTAAGAGAGAAATTGTAGAAACACTTGTATAGCCAAGTTATGTAGGCTGAAGATGATTGTATAAACAAATAAATAAAAAATACCAAAAAGCAAGTTTTTTAAATCTTACAACTTTTTAAAATGTTAATAACATTAGTTTCATTAGTAAGATTAGTTATTTTTTTTAAATATTACAATTAACCTTTTTCGAAACATTTAAAAACAAGAAAAAATAGTTTAAATTGATAAATTATATTTAATGACTAACTAATTTGAGTCCTCTAATGAGATTCACAATTTAAAAATAATTCATCCCACGCGCACGCGGAATTACATTTTTTAAAACAGTGTTTTTTTATTTCCTGAGGTCAGAAAATGAAAACTAAAAAAATCGAAATTGAAAATTTTCGGTAAAACAATGCTTTCATATGAGAAAGCAATACATTAAAAAGAAAAAACAACAGAATTGTTATTGATTTTCTAAATTGGTGATATAGAATAAGAATTTCTTCAATTATTTAGCATCGGATGAAGAAATCGTTGCAGAGGAAACGATTTATTATTCAAGTGTTGGCTCTGTTGAGCTTGTTTAAACTTAAGTTAATCATGCCCAAGACATTGGTCACACTGGTTCTCGTTGTTTTAATTCGCGAATGGCGAACGCCCATGTTCTGAAATTCAAATGCAACTTTTTTTGAAATCACTCCTTCGCACTCGTACAGATACGGCTTTTTTCCATTCCTGCTTTACATAGAGTTCTCTCTGTTTTGTTATTCTTTCTTGTGTGTATATGTAATTTCTGTATTTTCTCTTTTTCGTTTGTATATTTATACATCTTCGACCTTTAATACATACTTGTATCTTCGTTGCTGTATCGCAAAGCTGCAAACTCAATTACAGCTTAATGAATTGGCGACCTGGAAGAGAAAAGAAAAAGCGCTTTGCTAAGCTCCTCTCGCTACAGTGGTCACACAGTGGTCCGAATCGTGAATCTAACTGGACAAAACTATTTCATTAAGTATTTTTCATGGAATTTTGCTTTACTTCGTATTTGTTGGTTTTTGAGGTCCCTGTGTATGAATCTGAAGTCAAATTTAAAAAATTCAAAATGGCGGATCAAATATGACGGACATGAAATTAAAAAAATTAATGAATTTTTATAAAACTTGATGTTTAGGGGATTTTGAGATCGCTCATTACAAATCTAATGTAATATAATAAAAATTTAAAATGGTGGACAAACCCGTGTAGAAAAATTTCTATATGGGATTTATCTGGACGGTCTAATCTAGACTGTCTAAATGTATGCTATATGGGACTTTATTGGCATCACTAGAATTCAAAATTGTTTAAGTACAATCAAGACTTTAGTGCCCGATTTGTCGGTCTTCTTTGAATTTATACATGCGCAATGGGTTGTCACTTTAAAATTGAATGGAATA